ACGATATATGGAAACTGTTAATTTTTGGAGGCCAAAAATATCAAGAAATAATAGGATGTGATGACAACGTGACAGTATATGTTTCTTTGTATACGTATTACTCTATGGATTGTCAAAATATTCTGAAGTATCATTCGTTTGTTTTCGATTATTCAGAACATAATTCCTATGAAATATTGATATGATAAGTGCATGATAGACAATCAGTGTTTAGATAGAGACTCAATGATATCATGATACACTTGTTTTAATCAGTACTTCAACATTAGTACATTATACAAAATAACTCTGTCACTTGAGAATATCTGACAATTTTGAAGCAATAAGTGCTTATAGCTGCTCCAGATTTCTCTTTAATATTTAGCTCTCGATCTCTCACCTCTTTCAGATGATTTGTCAAATTCTGTGAATAAAACTCCAAAAATGATGCAAGCTACTTTTCCAATTGCTCCTTACAATGCGAAAGTATTACAGATAATCAGTTCAATTATTTTTTATTCAATTCATCATATTAAGGAATCAGGTAACATTATTCAGGTGTTCATATGTTTATTCTCAAAATGTTGTTCCTAGTCTCACTTTTCCATCGACTTGACATTGACACTACCAGTAGTGCCTTTAACTCTATATCAGGTGTACTGCTCTTTATGATTCCATACAAGATTCGATTCGATATTTGAGTTGATTTCTATAAGGTAGTCATATAACTTGATGTAATCAATCACTGATAATAATTGGAGAAATATTAATTGAAGTTGGACAATGAGAAGAGGAGAGGATGCTTTGGAATAGATACACTGGAGCATTTTTTCATTTAAGCCCCATGTCAACGGTTTTGGAAGTTTGAATGGTTATACAGGGTGAGTCATGAGGAACTGTATATACTCCTACCACGAATAGAGGCTCTTGAGGGGAATGTCAAATGACCATCAGAAAGTATCTTCTCCTCTACTTTAACAATATATATAGGGTGAATCATTATGAGGTCTGGTTAAAACTTATTTTGGGCATAACTTTTCGTCAGCCTCTTGGATTCGTCTGGTTTTTCATGAAATATTCCTCTACTGGAACCTAATCGACTGACGTTTCCAGAATAGGAAAAATCCAGGACCGTTTTTAAAAATTTTTGATAGTTCAGTTTTTATGAAAAAGTTCATCCTGTATATGGTTTTTGTAAACTGTGACAGGAAATTTTCAAAACACACAAACGAGCATCAGAAATTGAATATTCGAAATTCTCCTCACACTTTCACAGGATTTTTCAAAAAACGATAAGTTTTTAGCAGAAACGAAAGTTTGACAAAAAATTTATTCATTCGAAAATAATTACTTAGCAACGCATAAATTTCGCGAATAAAAGTGAGATTCACGAATTCAATGCTTAAGCTCCATGGAAATCAACATGTTCTTGCATTTCCAGCCCTGGATTTCGTCATTTCATTTCTTGTGGAGGGTAAATAATCACCCTGTAGAGTAAATCTTTTCCGAATCAGTGAATGGAAATCTATTTAGATGTTGATGGTCATCGATTGAAATAATTGAAGAGAGTCGAACAGAAACTGAAAGTTTATTCAAAAGCTATACTGAAAAAGGCAAATAATAATGGGCTTATATCACAAAAAAAAATTATTTCATAATTCGATAGAACTCATACCCAAACTGGCTCACCACCGCAAACCGTTTGTTGCTGTGAGCTCCCTACGTTTTATAAAAAATTATTGAAATCCCCGATATTTCGGACCTCTGAAACCGAGGCGATGATGTGACGTCAAAACCCTAATACTGAAACAAGACAATTCCAGACAGAGATTAATGATACATGATTTCTGACAGAGTGAATTAGCGCGAAATCACAGTTGAAAGAATTAATATATCAGTTGCCTCAGTCTCCGTCGGGCGTTTGGTATTTTTTTTTTAACTATGGCGAGATGAGGTTTCTACGTCATAAGAGGGTCCGTTTTCAGAAGGTACTATTATTTATGTCCAAAAATAGAACATTCCAGTTAATTTTTCGGTCGAATTATGACGTCAATCATTATTTATGTATAAAAGGATTATTATAAACATGATTTGAGTTAGAAGTTTTACTAAGGTGTACACGCTCATTCTAGTAGGAAAAATGAGTGACCAAATAAACTGAATAAAACAAATTGAATAGATAATACTGTGAATTGGAATCATAAGATTATCTATAGCGATGGCCCTCAACATTTTCACAGGTATCCAATCCACTAATTCGAGAAAGATCTACAGGGTGATCATTATCCTTCACAAAAAAATTATTATTGAATCCAGGCCTGATGATGAATATGTTGATTTCCATCTAGCTGAAGCATTGAAAATGTGAGTCTCACTTCTATTCCAGAAATTCATCGGTTGCGAAGTATCAATTCCCAAATTAGTTATTTTTGTATCTATAGAGCGCGAAATGCTACTTTGGTGATCGAGATCTGATATTTTTAACGAGGCGTAGCCGAGTTAAAAAAATAGTCGAGATGACCAAAGTATTTCGCGCTCGAGTTGCAAACAATATTTTTTCTACAATCGTCATAAAATATGGTTCTAAAGTGAGGATATGGTTAGCTTGATATGAAAAATAGTGTTGAACTGGCTTGAAAGGTCTCCCCCTATCCTCCCTAGGTACGCACGATGTTCCACGCACATAATAGGAATTTCCTTTCGTGCGCTCCAAGAGATAAAACGAAGTTATTTATTGAACATTCAGTAATAAATGATTTCGTGTATTTTTGCTCGATTGTGGACCATCAAGTTGAAATATAAATATCTCATATATTTTACATAACAGTGCGCGAAGTAGGTACTTCGCGCAATGTTTTACTTCGCGCATTGTTTTACTTCGCGCATTGTTTTGTGCAAGGTATCATTGTAACGTAGGAAACTGAAAAAAAGTGTCACTTCGCAATTTGTTGTCAATGCGCGAACCTTGTCATTTTTTGACGTTTGTAGAAAAAAATACATTTTTTGCCATATTTTCGTTGTCTCATAAAATTCATAGTTTTTTTCAAACTGCAGTGGAAGTGTGGGGAAAATTTGAAATATTTTATTTCTGATGTTTGTTTGTGACCTTCGGCAATTCACTGTCACAGTTCACGAACAAGATATACAGGATGAACTTTTTGCTATGAACTAAACTATCAAAATTCTACAAATACGGTCCTGGATTTTTCCGATTCTGAATAAGTCAGTCGATTAGATGGTAGTAGCGAAATATTCCATGAAAAACCCAGACGAATCGAAGAAGCTGTTGGAAACTTATGACTCAAAGGTATTTTTGCCAAATCTCATAGTTCACCCTATATATAAGAAATATGAAAGACTGGATTCTCGAACAAGAGAGAACATTTTTCAATACAGTTGTTGAATGAATCAATCCTATCATGCAAAACTTTTCATGTTAAAGTCAATTAAATGCATACCATTTTGAATACTATTATATTCGAGATTATATTACTACATTTTCTATTCAGTCGATTTATCCATTTCTGAATGTGCTACTAACCTTGAGTTGATAATCTAAATGTCTAAACTAATATAATATACTTCCTCAACTATATTCTTGCCATTAGAAATAAGATAATTATAGTCCATAATATGTCTAATACTCACTTGCAAAATTGAAGTCTATTAAATAATCAAAGAAATCTTATCCATAGACAGTCCTCGTGAAGAACTAAATGGTGTTTCTGTTTATTTTCATAGGCCCAAAAATTTGTAAAACATGTATTATTTCCACTTATGTGAATGAACTTCTATCTTATTTTATTCTATTCTATTCTATATTGGAATAGAAGTGGAGAATAAACTTTCTGATGGATATTAGCTAGATTGAAGGGTAGTAGTGAAATATGCCATGGAAAAATCAGACGAATCGACGAAACTGCTGGAAAGTTATGACTCAAAGGTATTTTTGCCAAATCTCATAGTTCACCCTATTTATTGGAAAAGAAGTGAAGAATAAACTTCCTGATGGACAGTAGGTATTCCTCTCAGGGGCCACTATTCGTGGTAGACGTATGCACAGTTCCTCATGACTCACCCTGTATACCACTATACTTATCGTAAGAGTTCCTCCTGCCTACGTGAAATATCTTCTGGAAAACGCCCTGGCATCATTGCTCTACCTCACCAAAGATATAAGTTAATCACTTTATTTAATTAATGAATGGTAAATTTGTTGTAGTGTTCCTGATGATGAAATAATGATATTCAGAAAGCTTTGAAGAGTACCTACTCTTTTCACTTTGCTGCATTATTTTCCAATGAACCTAGTTTTACTCAGAACTAGTCAGCAACTATCACTTTATAGATAATAAAAAGCAACCGAACCGAACCACAAGCTCAAATTTTTAAACTCAAGAGCTATACATCATGTTGTCTTTTCAGGTTTGCCTTTGGAGCTACTCCTTCTCCATAAAGAAACAAATTGAGGTGTACATTCTGGGCGACACAGATATTCATCTTCAATGAAACAATTCGTCCGAATGATGTACTTTTATTCACTTTTTATTCACCTTATGATAGTGAGATGCATATAGAAAAATAGGTAGGTAGGTACTCTTAATAATTAGGCTTAAAATAGACCTTTGGTACTCAATATCATTCAAAAATATCTTTCCAAATTTTTTGTATCGTTTTTTTCTTCTTCTGATAGTGCTGAGACATTGATGAGCTCCACCCACCCTGTACAATATATTGTGACATCTGAATGAGAATATATAATCACAATTTTGTATTCATCCGACTTCCTAATCCTGTGAGAAAAAAATGAAATTTCACTTTCACGTCAACAAAAAATCAATAATAATTTTTGAATGATAATTGATTGCAGTGTTTTCCATTTTCCTGAATGAATATTCAAATTTGATCACGTTTACTCTTGAATGAAAGCAATAATGCGAGCGCTTTCCATTGGCCGACATAAGATAGAAAGAGATAGGTATTCGTAACCACTGCGGGTTGCCTGAACAATATTTTTGCCTCACTTGTCGTTCACAGAGGATCCCATCCAGGTGTTCACATTGAGTTCATTGCCTTCAAAGAGCTCTAGCGTCCTCTGAAAGCGTTTTCGAACTAGTGCTGATGGGACAATTTTTCCTTATTTCCATCTGAAGAATTACCTCCCGGAGTATACGAACGTTAGATATTCTGGGACACCCTGTATATTGATACTAGATCCATCGAGAGATTCATCGATTACTTCATCGTTTGCCGCACCTGAAAGTTACTAAAAGTGGATTTATGCACACCGCCTTTTCATCAGTCTTTTGCTTGCATAGCCGCCATTAAGTTCATTCCTATTCAGGGACTATGATACTTTAGTGTACCACCTCTTTTCAATTTTAAACTCCTTTTTTCTGCAACCGACACAAAAGTCGTCCATTTTGATACCAAAATTACCTCTTAAATTGACGTTCCTATTACTGACACAAAAATAGGTATGTTACTAGGCAACATATTCAGTTCCTAGGAGCTAAAGTTGAATTTTATTTCCTAGAAGCTAAAGTTGAACTTCAGCTCCTAGGAACTAAAAAGGATGTACTGGACGTCATCAAGAATAAACAACATTGTGACGGTTGGTTATTTGAGTTGAGACGCATTCCTGATTTGTTTCAGATTTCAGCAGATTTGACATTTCATACCCATGCTGGAGATATAAATACACCTTATTAAAGTTGACTATTGGAATTATAAACATCTCAGTTGAGTATTTTTGTTTAGATCAGGGAAACCCTCAAGATTCAAATACTTGCTTGATCTGTATTTCATTCGTTATCTCGGGATGGATCACTTGTTTTTGAATAATCACGGCAAGCAATAGTTTTTTGTCTCAAACAATGATATTGTTTAGCTTCATTTGATTTTCAAGTCAAACACAGTATAGTATGGAGAGGAATAAATAATCACTATTATCATTGTTAATATGCTCACTATAACCTAACATTTTCCACGTCTTGTTCCTATACCTGGCACTGGCGCGGTATTTGCCATTAGAGCACCTGGTCCATACACGAATGTCACTCTGTGGTTGTATTTATATTGAAACTACAATTCGAACATCCTTGAAAACCTAACCTGCTGTAAATGCAGGTAGGATATTCTCATCACACGGATTATTTGTCAATATTTGTTGCATTGCATACATATGGCACAGCATTGGTGGTTACTCCACATGTTTATTTGAGTTAATTGTTTCGGTTGCAGAAAAAATAGCATGTTTCATTCGGATCGAAAGTGACTTTGTTCGACTCGCAAATTTTGCTTTCGCTCGGCTTCGCTAAACGCTCCGACTCGCAAATGCAAAATTCGCTCGTCAAACAAAGTGTCACTTTTGATCCTAATAAAACAATCTACTATTCTTGATCGAATCATAGTCCTCAGCGTACTTAGCCCGATGTTATTCACATTCAGTGATCACATAAATACAATAAGAAACATTCAGTCATTTTGTTTTCGTATAAGTATGAAATTATAATCTGAGCATACGACTAAAATTTTCAGAATTTCCAACTAGATTTCGGCAAAAGAAGAGAAAGAAATTGTTTGTCTGACTTCTGACAGAATCGCGCCTGCGCAAGTCACAGTTCTATTTGTATTTGTCGTTAGGAGATGAAAGTTGGTCATCTTTTAGCAAATATGAAATGAAAGATAAAATACAATTTGGGTGCAAAAATGAATGTACAAGAATATCGAGTTTTATCTTATTATTGAAATCGGTTAGGATTCTGAAATAACAGATTAATGGAAAAGTGGTGTGCATAAATCGGCCTTAAATCACACTCATTCGGAGACAGAAATCATTTGAATCATCTCCATGCATGGGCATTCTGCATGGCAAAACATGAAGCCAACCAGTGTAGAACTAATTTTATGAGAAGTCATGAGAAGTGAACTTCCCTATTCCTTGCAAACCTCTAGATCTCCTGGTACAATAGGAACGTATAAGCAGCTTTGATCATCTGAAAAAATACGTTTATCAGAACAAAGTGAGCAGTACAATCCATATTTCAGACTAACGTTTACAATCAGATCGTTGTCGATCACTCGAATGTTGCCCATGGAAAGTACAAGTGGTCTTTGCACTCTGGCCATCACAATCGAAAGACTTCTCACCACTCCAGAGCTTTGGTCGTACCAGTTACTCTTGAATATCCTCACGCTCAAATTTGTGCTCTGAAAATGCATTCCACTATCTCAGTTGATCGAAACTAGAGTCACTGGATGTATTTTTTTATCGCTTGGAGCGCACGAAAGGAAATTCCTATAATGTTCAAAGAACATCGTGCGTTCCTAGGTAGGAAATTAGGGACAGGAGGTAGGTATTGGGATTTGTTTTGAACTTCTGGAGATTATATGTTGTTGGGAATACTCCCAAGTAGCACACATATATTGGGACAATATTGTAGCAATATCACGAAAATATCGGCAAAATATTGTGAAAGTGATATTGACGAGAAAAAAAATGTGGACATTTGGCGATATTGGTACAATATCAGTTTCCAGATGTGGGTAGAATATTGAAAATCAGCGTATTGGTTGAATATTCGTCACAAAATGTGATATCAATATTGGCAAGAAATTAATTGTGAACATTTGGCAATATTGGTGCGATATTATATGAAATATCGGTGAATCATTGAAAATCGTCATGAAAGCTATGTTGTCTCGAGAATATTGGTAGAATATTTTCATACCAATATTGCTGAAATATTCGTGGGGTTATATTGACGAAATGTGATATCAATATTGCTGATGAATGAATAGTGAACATTCGACAATACTGGTGCAATATTGGTTGGAAATATTGGTACATCATCGAAAATTATTATGTGGCTATGTTGTCTTCATAATAATGGTGGAATATTTTTATACCAATATTTGCGAGTTATTCGCATCAGGAATAATCACAGAGGTCAGCCCAGCCGTAGTGCAATGGGAGAGCCTTGCCCTCTGGGGAAGCCGCCTTGTTGATCACGGTAAACCCCTACTCCAGGTTATAATGCTTTTCAATCGTCTACAGCCAATATTTATATTCTCTCGTCTGATCGGCAATGGGAGAACGTTACCAATCATTTATAGCGCCATCTATCGACATCGGTATGAGAGTGCGTGATATGTAATTTTTTTTTTTTTTTTTTTTTTTTTTTTTTTTTTTTTTTTTTTTTTTTTTAATAATTACAATAACAATATATTAACATAACATAACATATTATATTATATTATATTATATTATAATCATTCAGATGTTTGATTCAAATGAATGGATATCTTTAAATGTCTTACTGAAGTAGACTCACACTAGGCCATGTGGCCTGTTTTGTGGTGTCAGACTTAGTAAGACATTTGTACAAAGTATTGTATCTTTTATTTTTTATTTTTTTTTTAATGCTGACAATTAATATCGAAATTTCGATATCGATATGTATTTTCAAAAAAATATGTGAACGATATTGCTCACATGATATAATGAATCAGATATCAGCCCATATAAGATGATATTATTTTCTGAATATGGCTGGAAAACTATCCAACCGATATGCAATTGAACTCGAAAATACAATATTCAATTGCCGTTATTGATATTCATTGATTGATTGATATAGTTGAAACGATATCAATCAATTTGAGTAAAGATGATGTTCTGAATATCGTCAAAACAATATTCAAAAATGAGCCGATGAACTCGAAGATACAATATTGCATAACCGCTTCAGAAAATCGACATGGGGAGAATGTTCAAATTGCGATATTGGTTATAATTGTTGGAAACAATATGTATACGATATTTTCCGCATGATATAGTTGAAATGATATCAATCAATGAAGGTGAATTAGATGTTCCAAATATTGTTGAAACAATATTCATCCAATTTGCCGTCGAACTCGATTACACAATATTTCATAACCGCTTCAGAATTGACATGGGGAAAATGTTCAAATTGCTATATTGGTTATAATTGTTGGAAACAATAAGTAAACGATATCTTCCGCGCGATATAGATAAAATGATATCAATCAAGATAGGTGAATATGATGTTTCGAATATTGTTGAAATAATATTCAACCAATATGCCGTCGAACTTGAATATAAAATATTGCACACCCGCTTCAGATTCGACATAAGGAGAATATTCAAATCGCGATATTGGTTATGAATGTATAAGGAACAAAATGTATACGATATCTTCCGCATGATATAGATAGAATGATATCAATCAAGATAGGTGAATATGCAATATTGAACCAATATGCCGTCGAACTTAAATATACAATTTCGCATAAACGCTTCAGAATCGACATGGGGAAGATGTTCAGATTGCGAAATTGGTTATAATTGTTAGAAACAATATATATACAACTCTGTTGTATTGACATCTGTAATATTATATAACATATATAAATATATTTTTCAATACATTGTTAACGAATTTTACAACCAATATTGCTCCAATATTGTAGCTGACAATCCATATTCAGCTCAGGTCGAACCAATATTCCACCAATATTATCATTCCAATATTGTATGTCCAATATACTCTCATATTGGACCGATATAATTTTCCACATAAATGCCCAATATGAAATCAGGTTCCAGTTACTATGATGTGCTACCTGGGAAGTGTCCCCATCGACATTGAAAGTGACCTATCTTTTCGATTTTTTATTTGATATACTGGAAGAGAGATATTAAGGGTGGGAAGTTTTCTAATTGACACGGCATATTTCGGAAACTACTCAACAGAAAATGATATACTAGGATACCATTGGAAAACAAATTGGACGCCCTTCAAAATGATGTGCCACTTGACCCTCCTTTTCATTTGAAATTCTAAGGGCAACATATCTACCCCTCCTAGGGGGTTGAAACTATTCATTTCAAGTGTCCCCCTTGAAAATTGAACTGACGTATCTTCGTTATTCTTCATATTACCTATTCACTAGAAGGAAGATATTGAGATATTGAATGCTAAGTCTCAGATATAAAAATTTCTGTGATGGAACATGAAATATTTTGAATGTAGCAGGTAGTAGTGTAGTGTAGTAATGAAACATGTGGTGAGTACGTGGGTCAGTAATTCTATCTATGCTATGTCTCTGTGATGGAACATATAATACATACAGGGATGTCCTATAAGTACGTTCCATTTTTGTCACGCGGTACGAGGACATGATTGAAACATCCAGAGGATGTCCCGCAGTGGTTGTCCGGTGGACAACCCGTCTGGTACATTCACAGGTTATTTGTTATTCCTTTGAATATCTGACATCCATTCCCATCAAACTTTGGATTTCATCAAAATTTTATTTGAAATTTCAAGCAAATTTTTTTCAATAGGCTCAGAAATTCTTGAGAAGTGGCCATTCCGCAAAAAAAAATCGTTGTTGCATAATGCCTCTCATTTGAACACCCAACAATAATAAAAAATATACCCAACTCCTAACAAAAACTTGTATTCATTTACGTTTTTGTGGTTTTGTCCTGTTTAGCTTCGGAAATATCTGAAAAATTGGTGATGTGGCATTTTTGAACGATGTCAACGTTGACCGCACGAATACAATACTACTCGAAATATTGGTGAAATAAATAACCTCTGGTGTACGCACTCCAATCCTTTCCTGTTATACAATTCCTTGATTTTCGCCTACTTCGATGAACATAACATGGCGTGGGTGAATGTCGCTAAATTTAGTCTGGTGCCGTACCAAAATTACAGGCATCAATGTGACAATTGTGACCGAATTGTGACCAATGAAGATAGGGAATACATTTTGCGATTTAGCCGCATCAAGGTTGGTAGAACTGATGTTGATCATAAGTTCTAAGAATCACGCCATCTAACATTCGATATGTGAACCCCACGTCATCGTCTGATATTGAATTGTTTATATCAAGAACCAGTCTGACGAAACAAATGAAGACTGAGCGCACCATAGGTTTATTTCATCAATCTCGAAATAGTCCACCGTGCGAAACCACATTGAATATACTGGGTGAACAACTATAAGAACGGCTGTCATATTTATCTTTCTCCCAACTTTGATAGTTGATATCTTCCGTTGGCGAAAAGCTATCATGTTGCGGGTTTCGTTGGTCTGTTGTTAGTTTCTCTATTACATCGTTGATGAAATATTGTCACGAAAGGATATTTTTCAAATTATTCTCAAATATCACAACTACTATTATTATTATTTCACTGTTCTAATTTATCGAGTTTGTTATATTTCTCAGCAATTCAACTGTCCTCATTCGTGACAAAACATTTTTCAATAAAATAAACATTTGAGGTGATCGATCGGAATCCACGTACCAAGGGGGACTTGACTGTCGGTCCGAATAGCGGACGGTTGCTGGTGGTAACGGGGATGTCCCAATTCGGACATCCCCAAATTTTTGTGTTAGATTATTATTGTAAGTACATTTTCATTATTCATTAAATCTTCAACTTAATGCCACTTCAAGGAATGTCAAAATTGTAATTCATCATTAATAAATCCATATTTGTTTTTGTTGTTCGAACTTGAGTCATTTTTATTGACTATCAACCCTCAGCAAATCCCAACTAGCAAAGGCAATAAGTCACATACGTGACAATATGGCCGACAGCCCTTCTTAGTAGTTCATTCGGTACATACAGATTTACTTCAAAAATACCTTACACCCTTGCTAGGGTAGGTAGAACATTGCAAAATAAGTTGGGTTTGCTCAGTAAAAAAATGTCGTAAGGTGTTGAAAATATTATTTTTTACGCATTTTTCACGATTATGTTGAAACTACTGGCACCATTGTGATGAAATTTTGTAGGGATGTTTCTTGGAATCTGACACATCGCATGCATTTATTTTTATATCTGACTCTCATAGAGGGCGCTAGTTACACGGTTCGTACCGAGTAGTTTTGAACATAGGGTTTTTGAGGTTAGATTTTTCAATTCAAATTTGATGTGAACTCAAACATCATTCAATTTCACACCAAAGAGGTACTCTTGGTAAAACTCGATACTGTGTTCCGTTTTCGGAATATTTCGATTTGAAAATGATGAAGTGGTAGATGTTGCTGATGGTATAAAGGTATCAGAGTGAGTATTATGAAAAATTATCCCCTATTTATTGAAAACCGAAAACAATAATACATTTCTGATGCGAAACTCATTGATTTAAAAAATGAATCACAAGAATAACATCGAAACAGACATGGATTACACAGTTCTGTTGTATCTTGAGCAGAAAGTCTATGCTACATAGGTAAATTCATGTCAAGAGTTGTGAGACACAATTGAACATCACTTAAATGACCTAACAGCTGATCCTCAACTGTTCAGAAGAATAATTCATTCTTAAAAAAAGAATAAAGAATCGTGTATTCCTCGAAACGTAGGACATTTTGAACACTTACTCTAACTGATTCAATATTTCATGTTTCTAGTCAAATATCTATTAATTTTCTACTCATGATTTTTTGTTTCATCAATAACTTCAGCACAAGAATAATTTTATTGTTTTTGAACCTGAATAAATAGGTAATTCAGCTCAATAAAATTCATTTTATACCAGCATCAATACTACTCCATTATTTTCAAATCAAAATATTCCGAAAACGGAACATAGTACCGACATTCACCAGGTGTTTTGGTGTAAAATAGAATGATGTTCAAGTTCATATCATATTTGGATTGAAAAATCTAACCTCAAAAAAGTTATGTTCAAAATTACTCGGTATGAATCGTTTAACTAGCGCCCTCTATGAGAGTCAGATATAAAAACAAATTCATGCGATGTGTCAAATTTCAAGAAACATCCATACAAAATTTCATAAAATGTAGCCAGTAGTTTCGGAATAATCGTGAAAAATGTGTAAAAAATAATTGTCTCATGAAAACGGATGCCGTTACGACATTTTTTCACTTAGCAAACCCAACTTATTTTGCAATGTTCTACCTACCCTAGCAAGGGGGTTAGGTTTTTCTGAAACACCCTGAATTATATGACTTCTATGGGTGCAACAACGAATCAGTGTGGGATTATCCTTATTCCTCTATGAATCAGCTTTGTACGATAATTCACAAGAAGCATAATTATTGACCAATGGAGTGAGTTGCGTGCCTGATAAGCTAAAGGTCTTGAGTTCAGATCCCTACTCCGCCTTTTTTTTTCATTTCGAAGAGATGCCCCTGAAATGTCCTTAAGAAGTGCTATACGAATATCCTTTGTTCGAACTTGGTACATCTCAGAGACGTATGAGAAAGACATCCCTAGGATGCCTCTCTCTGTGACACAAGATATCCCAGGGACGTCCTCTTTAAAAATGAATGTCCCTGGTACGTTCAAGGGACGTACTTGTATTGTTAGGGTTCGGAATATATAGCAGTGATAGAATCTCTGATCCAAATGTTATGAAACATATGTGATGAGTTTCAAGTTAGTCTGTGATTTCATCTTGCTACCTTTATCTTTAATTGGAATATTTTTGTGCTAAAACATGAAACATTAGTAGAAATAGGACTGCTGAATAAAATGTGATGAGTTTCGAGTGAGTCTGTGATTTCATTTGAACTGGACATAAATGCTTTATCTCTGACTGGAACATCACGTTTCGGTTACACTTACCTCTGATGATAACTCATTGGCATTATAGTAGAACATGCTAACATGAAGTAGTAGCCCTATCACCATGGACTGGTAAAAAATAATTTCTTCCTTATTGGTTGCGTGTATCACCTGTAATTCGACAAGATACATTCATTAGATTCGAGAATTTCTGCAAATGTTTAACTTACGTTCAGAAGCGACACTGTTATATGATAAGATTTGATCAAAAACTCTCCTAATAAGTACCATTTCAAGGATTTCTGGATATCTTCAACGTATCTAGAATTGAAAGAATAACAATAAAAATTCTAGTGGTTTCCTCGCAATATCATAGTGATTCTTCACATGTAGTGTATCAAACATTCATCTGTAGATAATGACATAAGTCTAATGTTAATTTGAGGAACATATTATTATCATCTCTCATTTTAAGGACACTATACGAGAAATACAGATTTGATTGAATAGGGAAACAGTGGCACGGGTGAAGAAGCAACAAAATTACTTTTAAATATCTCTGATATGACATATAGTTTTTTGAGTTATTTCCAAAAAACATTGTTTTTTGATTTTCAATTTTATATTATTTTGGAAACATAATAAAACTTGAGGAGTACCTTCATACAACTTATGCTGATGCTCTTTAATCTGGCATCATCGATTTTCTGATCGTCTTTGCGTAACTATCATCAACTTCACTTTTTCAAACAAATACGGCCCTGATATTCTGATATCTGATTCGAATAGCCCTCTACATTCTGATCTTATTGAAATGATACATATTTGTGGTTCTTTAGGCGTTTCGAGCTTATTTTCACAATCAGGGCCAGGTAGCCGTGCGGACAGAATGTCAATATTCTAATCCACACTCCCTTGCCGGTCGTGGATTCGATTCTTAGCGACTGCAGACATTTTTCTGATGGCCCAAGAAAGTGTTTGTGATCACACGTTGAAAGTTTAGGCCCCCGTCATTCCTTGCTCGCACAAGACTCTCGAAGACTTCTGAGGGTGCTCGTGAGGAGACAACCGATTGACGGATAGAACAATTTTAAAACAAAAACAATTTTAAAAAAATCAAGACATTTTTGGAATACGGACCTGACGTCTCAAATGATATGGAGAAAGCCCTGGAAAATTCGACACTGGCGGATTTTCAGGATTGTTATTGATTCCATCAAGATGGTACCACAGTATCCCAGGCAGCACAAAGAGGTCCGGAAGATATCCTTCCAGGACATTGTAGTGCCTTTTGTAACTTCTTTAAGACATCGCCGAGAGCGCTATAACTCCTCCAAATGTCCACCACTTAGGCTGAGCTCAGCGAGGTCACAATGCCCTCAGGCGAGCACTTTGAGATATTTGCATCAATCGCCACTAGCGAGGTCTTGAAGTGCTCGCGACTACAAGCTGTTTGAGAATTTTGCAACCATTGCCTTGTGACGAGGATATTGGGAGATTTGCATTCATTGCTATTGGTGAGGTCTTTAAGTGCTCGCGACTACGAGCTTTTTGAGATATTTGCAGACAAAGCCTTTTGACGAGGACTCCAGGAAATTCTCATTAATTACTGATGGCTCGCAAGTATGAGTTGTTCAAGAATCCGTGCACATCGCCTTATAACGAGGCCATCAAGAGCGATATTCGCATCAATCGCCACATGATATGGTATGGTATTCAAATTTTGAGAGTCATTGGTTATCAGCATCAGTCGCATGTCGACGAAGTTTAACTAGCACCAGCTATATTTTTTGAGGTAAAGGTAAACTTTCTCGATAACAGTTTTAGTGCCAAAGATAAAATTACCAAACTTTTCGATTAACTCATCGAGTTCCAATTAAAACAATCGGATGTACTTTTGTTATATTCAGTGTATGGCAAACTGCCAAAGGCTATATAGTACCGTGAACCGGAGCTACATCGAACGATATTTCTAATTATATGCCTTTATTCTTTTGTTAGAGGAAATTGAATCTGACTACCTTATGCATTCTATAGCAAGACATTGATAAACTGAACATTTCCACAAAACATTTTTGAGAAGTTGGCCGGGTATTCATTGAAAAAAAAGGTCGTCCGATAATTACGCACGAATTTGAAGTAGGTAGATATTTGATTCTTTATCCTACCTGAATTAAAACACTTTTCTCTGCAGAATTTTCTATAATAATAATATAATAATAATAATCTTCCATGATGGCGGGGAGATAATAATATGACATGTTGAACAAATTCACTAAGACAGTAAGAAAATGAAGTATCTAGTATACAATTATTATTATAAATTACCCATTGATATTTATGACGGTCTGATGTGATGAAATATTGCAATTTTTGTTTTCCCATTTCATGTTAATACTGGGTGTCCCAAGTTATCGTATAGGTACATGCAAAATCTCGCTTATTTGACAAGATGATCAAAAAATAGTAGAAATTGCTCCAAATGACATCAAAATACTTTCCTTATGACTTGATTGTATTAGAGTAGACAGCCCCTTGGTAGCTACCCCTCAATTTTTATTGAATGGATTCCCTGTATATTGCTCACAGGGCTTTCTTAAAACCGAAGTCAGCTGAATGCCAAATTGTTTTATGCGATAGTTCTATCATAGTACCTCAATATATATGGACGTGGAGGCCAATATGCTTTTTCTAGGGCATTCATAAAACAGTAGAACAAATTAGACCTATCATTTGCGCTCACATAACCTCTTTAAAGTCCCATAGAAGCTATTAAGCATTTAAAATGTTACTTGGGACTGTAGGTATCTGTCGATATATACTCACCTGATCAGATTCTGATGTTCCGTAACAATATTTCGTAGACAATGGAATGTTGATTCATTCCTTCCATCACTGTACATCTCAAAATTTTCGAACTTGTATCCCAAGACAGCAATTCTTGCAGTAGCGAAGGTCACCATCGAAATGAGCAGGGAATCTAACATGATTGTAAACCAGCATAACCAAAAGCCTGCGAGGTATTGAAAAAAGTACGCAACATTGAAATAAGTTGGATCCTTTATATCGAAAGGGAACCAACCACGGTAGATGAGCGACTTGCTTTCCGCATCCATCAGCTTCCATTCGTTGAAAGTGGTGACCATAAACAAGAAGCCAATACTGGTCATCATGAAAGACAATAAAACAAATATCTTGTAGTTGTAGTGGGAATTTCTGTTGTATATTCGCGTACATTCCAAGTCATCGTGGGTGATGTCGTACTCAAACTGATACACTTCTTTGATTTTATCTCGAATTCCTCTGGAGTAGAATAACACCAATTTCATTAGTAAGAGGAAGCTGGAGAGGAAAGTTTGCATGTTGATGTTGAATGTTACTACATCTACGTCATCCATCAGTAAATCTATCATGCCCACAAGGAACGACATGACGAACAGAAAGTAGTAGCCTAGTGAAAGGAAAGACCAAATCTTGTATGGAATGGATGAGTTTGCTGTTTTGTTCCGTATATCAAATGCTCCAGCTATTAGCAAGGCGTACCTTGTGTACTTGAGGATGCTCTCACAGTTGCTCATCTTGACTGTTGTACTGAGGAAAATTCCTATTAACCATAGTCAGAAATCGAATTACTCCAGCAAGAAACTCTGATTGTATAGGGGACAAGCGAGTTATCATCTGTGATTACAAAGAGACTTTGCTGATTGGAATTCACCTGCGATTATTAGATATAGAACCTTGCTGCCACAAGCGAGTGCATCTGTATATTGCTATGAGACGATGTTTCTGTGGTAGGTATCTGACTTTGCTACCGCTAGTGAGTGCATTCAATAATGGGAGTAGGGCAATGTTATAATCGTAGGTAGGAAACTATGCTACTCTTGCTGGGTGATCATATAGATAGTTGCATGACCTTCTCGCTGTAGTTATTCAGTTATTTTCCAGGATTGTTGTCGTCAAGAAAGGTGAAATTTTGACTGATATCCAATTTCACTTTCCATAACTTCCACCTATGATGTTTGGTATGGATAGCAATTTATTGATTCCTAAAAAAATTTCGAACCAATGATCTTTGAAATTCAATAGATCAGTTGATTCATGCACCCTCAGGAAAAACAAAAGATTTAGGAGTGATTATTGAGGAAAAAAATTTACTGAACCATTGAATTTCGAAAACTAGGCAAGTTATCACAGATGTGTACAGGAGAACAAAATGTTACCAGTGAAATCATTTAGATAATTTCATAACCTGTACATTTTTGCTCACAATAAGCTCCTAGACCACATTCTATAGAGAAGCTCTGGAACATATTTGACAATTTCAAAGTTCTATTGTACCAAAAAGATGGTGTTGATTGTAAAATATTCGAATTTCAGTCGAAATACCTCGAAAAAACTCACCTTTATTATTCCATCAAACCTGGTAATAACTGAAGCACTCAGATCCACGAAAGCACTGAGAGGGACAAAGAAGATTTTTTAATTGTTCCCAGTTTATATTCGAATTCAAATTCAGATTTCAAATAATGAATTGAATTCAAGAGGTGAAGTGATCGTAACTGTCGTGTGTCGTCGAGATTGTCGTCCTGTACATGGGTTTGCATCAAGAGTTCAACTGTGAATGATCGATCAAGGAAGATGTCTGACAGATGCTTATACATATAGAGGGGGACAAATCAGCAAAATATCGAATGACGATAAGTATGCGCTGAATAACCCCAAGTTTATTCGTCAAATATTATTTTCGTGGCAGACTGACAGTTGTATTATTGGTAGTGAGTGCAGTTCTATGCGATGAACCTCGCCACAAGCATATTACTCACTAGTAGTAGTTCAGCTAGACAATTATTCAAAAAAATCATGCTGTCACAAGGTGGGTACCTGGATAGCGACAGCAGTATACCTTCCTGTGGCAGGAAATTCACTTTCAGCAAAGTCGTTATTGCTATCATAGGATTCCAAGGTGCTGCATCTATTCGAAAATGTATAACGGTAATATGATTTCTTGTAATGGTAGCAAGAAATATCTCAGCAAAAACTCTGATAGCACAATTTTCCTCAGTGTATGCACTTTGGCGATCACCAGCCAATGACATAGGTAACGACTATATCAATTGATAATTAAGAAATTATAATAATAATGACTAACATTTCTCCCGCGTACTCTTTGGAGTTCTAACTTCGCTCATATGAACAAATGAACGCAGTTATACGCCCAACACTGTAATAAAGGACACATCATACCATCTCAAGTTTGATATGTCGATATTATAACATATTGAGTGAATTGTTTGTATTATAATATCTTATTGTGGGATCATTATACATATAGGCAATATTTTAATTATTCAAAAATGATGCATTATTGAGCGTCGAAGCTCGATTGGTCGAGCTCTATGGTATCTAGGAACATTATATTTGTTTATGTTTTGGTTCTCACGAGAAGGGAAATTCTGTTCGTTGGATGAACGAGTCTTTGGAAAAAGATGTTCTGCAGGTCTCCAACGTGACCACGAAGGGGTGCGAAGCCTCAACTCGACGGGTCAATCTCGTGGGGACTGCCAAGGAAGAAACAATTGTTGATATTTCAGAAGAGCATCGTCGATGAAAATATCTATAAAATAGAGCCAGATCGCTTACTTTTCTACAGTGTTCCAGAGAAGTGAGTGAGTTTGTGAGCGAGGCATCACCCAAGAGACGAATTTGCCTTTTTTAACAGAATCCAATAGTTCCAGGGTATATTTTGGTGCTGCACTCCAAATATGGGAACAGTATTCCAGGACAGGTCGGATCTGTGCATTATAGATCATAAGCAGCTGACTGGAAGTGAAATGGGTCCTGGCCCGAAACAGAAAACCAAGTTTTTGGGACGCACTTTTAGCAATTGATGTGACCTAATTTTGCCAAAAAAAAGGTTATTGCTGATAGTACTACCAAGCATCGAAATGGATGTCTTCAAAGGTATGGTTACTCCTGAAAAGCTTATGTTGGGCACAGTGAGGTCGGCTTTTCTAAAGGCATGCTCGTGTTTTGTTTGCATTGCAATCTACCAAGTTATTGGAATGCCATGTATAGCAGCACACTTCTTGAGGCAACCTTGTTACCTACATTTAACCCTTAGATATCAAAGAGTATATCGCTATCATAACAAAGTTATGATTTTTTTGTCGAAATAATGTTTGCACATAAACCAATATAATCACTATCACAGGTGACTAAAAGACGTCTCTACGACGTAATAATTCAGACGTTAGTCACGTCATTTCGTGACGTCTCTACGACGTCGTCACGACGTTGATAAGTCACATGATTTCGACGTCATATTAGTGAAGTCCTCACGATGTCAATTAGTGACGTCAAACTAAAACATTCATTTGACGTTTCGGGACGTCATAATACGTCATACGTGAGTATATTATATACGAGTTATCATAGTCCAAGAAAAAATTATTGTACATTGAAAAAAAATCACGAATATTCCTTATATTTTTCTTATTGGTAGGTTCTCACGACAAGAAAACACAATTTTTTTCTCACACACACATGACATGTTCAGAACTTGGCCTACCTCTTTCACTAAAAACTGTTGCAGAAAGTTTTCGAGAATTTCTTGTTAATCCCTGTTTTTCTAGAGCTTGATGGTCAAATCTTTATAAGGTGCCCAGAAAACTTCTGTTGATCGGGGAGTCATACACATAGATAAAACCACAGGATATTTGCAATCAATTCATAATTCCTATACAAATATATCACATAGGTTTTCTTTTATTATCGCTTGGAGCGCACGAAAGGGAAATCCTATAATGTTCAAAGAACATCGTGCGTTCTTAGGGAGGATAGGGACAGGAGGTAGGTATTGGAATTTTTTTTGAACTTTTGGAGATTATATGTTGTTGGGAATACTTCCACAGGCAATGAATTCCAGAGCCTAGCCGTTCTATGGAAGAAGGAGTCTTGATAAAGTGCTGTTCGACATCTTTTGAGGTTGACAACGAAAGGATGTGTTGACTGGGCTTGTCTAGTTCGTCTGATTGGTATTGCTAGTGAAGGGATGATAGCAGAGATTTCCGAAGAACATTTCCCGTGGAAGTATCGATAGAAAAGTGAAAGGTCGCCGACCTTTCTACGGTGTTCCAATGATGTCAAAGAGTGAGTGAGTGTGGCGTCACCCACCAGGCGAATGGCTCTTCTCTGGATGGAATCTAAGAGCATCAGCGTATGTTTTGGTGCTGAACCCCATATGTGGTAGCAGTATTCTAGAACAGGCCGTATCTGCGCTTTGTAGATCATGGGAAGCTGTTGAGGTGTAACGTAGCTTTTCGCACGGAACAAGAATCCGAGTTTTTGTGAAGCAGCTTTTGCCATGGTTCTGACATGATTATCCCATGAAAGAGTGTTGCTGATGGAAATACCGAGCATAGATATGGTGTGCTTCGTGGGGATGGTGGAGCCAGACATTACAATATCGGGCATACTGAGTTCCGCCTTTCTAGAGAAAATGCAGGCTTGAGTTTTGGTGGCGTTGAATTCAACTAGGTTGTTTGTTCCCCAGGCTGTGATTTCAGCAAGATCTTCATTGACAGCATTGACCTGCCTGCGCCGTGAGTTCTTAGTTTCCTGGGAAGAAATGGGAATTCTGGAAGAGAACGCAGTATGGAAGGTACTATCATTTGCAAAGCTGTGGATGGGGCAAGTTGTTACTCCGAACAGATCATTGATATGAAGCAGGAATAATGTTGGTGCCGAAATTGATCCTTGTGGAACACCGGAATTGATGCCAATGGTATCAGACGATACATCGTCCACCACCACGTCAAGCGATCTGCCTGAAAGAAAACTCGATAAGAGATGGCATAGCTGAGGTGATAAGCCGTATGATGATGGTAGTTTGTGGAGGAGTCCTTCGTGCCAAACACGGTCGGATGCTTTCGATATGTCCAACGCGACAGCTAGAGATTTCCCGTGTTTTTCTATTGAAGATTGCCATAAATGGGTGAAGTAGGCAAGTAGATCTCCAGTAGATCTTCGGTGGCGAAAGCCGTATTGTCTATCATTGATGATTCCTGAGCTCTCCAGATATTTGATAAGCTCAATATTGATGGCTTTCTCCATAACTTTGGAGATTACTGATAACAGGACAATGGCCCTGTAGTTGTTGAGCAGGTTCTTGTTCCCTCTTTTGGGGATTGGTTGGACTCTAGCTGTCTTTCAGCATGATGGAAAAATACCCGACCTGTACGAGATGGTAAACAACTTGCAGAGA